GGGAACCCTAATGTGAACCATGGATTTGGGTGATAATGGTGCGTCAGTGAAGGTTCACTGATTATAACACATGTAACTCGTCTGGTGTAGGAGGCTGATGGGGGGGGGTGCGGCAGAGGTGTGTGTGTGGGTGGGTGTTGCCGGGTGGCAGTTGGCATATGTAGGATCTCTCTGTACTTTCTGCTTAATTTTGCTGTGAACCTAAAACTCTAAAGTTAAAAAAAAAAAATAACTGGTGCTATCTTGGCCAATGGAACTATAGGTGATTTACTTCTTCTTTTAATTAAAAAAAACAAAAACCCAAACCAAAACCCATTGAGGGTGTGAGTTCAAGATGAATGAATGCCAACGAGATATTGGGCACGTTCTATCTGACTCAGGCTTGATAGTTTACGTGGAAATACATTTGATCTCAACCTAAAAAGAGGACCCTGCGTTCAGAGGATCAGAATGAACAGTTTGTACTCACCGTCCTTGCAGATGGCGCCCATCTGACATGTCCCTAAGTCTAAGAGATACCCGCTGAGGCAGCTCGTGCAGTTCTTGAACCCCGGACCATTGCATGTCAAACAGGTAGCATCACATCTATGGGGGAAAACGTACAGTTCATGCTTTCACGCATCAGGTGCAAGAAAAGATGTTTGCTATCAGCCTCTTAAGGACGTTTGAAACCTAATTTCCCCTTTGAAGACGACACAGAAACCTCTTCTGACCATAAATGCTACCTTTAACAACATTAAAGAAAGCCCAGCAGGTAGACTGATTTTAAATGGGAGAACACATTGTACTTGAAACCGAAATATTACTTTCCAGGTTTTAAAGTGCTCCTGAGACAAAAACAGAAAAGTACTCAAGAGAAGTTGGGTGAAAGCAGCAGGGGAGGTTTCTGCTTTCAGCTTTCTGATTTGGAAACTTAGGTCATCATTAGTAATTGTTTTGTTTTGTGGAGGCGGTCAAATAAGGAAGCCAGTGATCACGAGCTACGGCTGGAGGGGCGGATCCACTTACTTTTTGCAGGATTTGTATCCGTTCTCTGAAGGGTGATCAAAGTAGTAGCTGAGACTGCAGCTCTGCACGCATCTCCCATCCTCCATGAAGTAGCCTTCTGTGCAGTTAATACACCCGTCAGCACCCGGCCCTGAAAGCAAGACAAATGTGGGAAACAGAAACAAAATCTCAGAGGAGCTTGCACGATGGGCTGCTTCTTGTGTAGTTGGTGGAAAGGGCATGAATAGGTTGTCATGTTAAGAGTCACAATTTCACATTTGTGCTTTCTCTTATGTTCTGTGGGGGAAAAAAACCCGCCCCCATTTTAAATTGAACCCATTTGCCAAAACCATCACATCTCTTTGGAAAGAGGAGGAGATCTCATTGGGATGTTTCAGGGTCGCAATAGGGACAGAATGCCCATGGCTGACTTTCTCTGAGAATCCATGCAGGAGTGCCGGAAGAGATTTAGGTTTCTCCAGCATTTACTTTAACCATATCCGAGGGGTCTGTAGGAGTGATGGCTAACCACAAGTCAACAAACAGCAAACCAGAGCCAGAGGAATAGACAGTAGGACTGGGGGACAAGGTACCAGCGCAGGTGGCACAGAAGCGGTGACAGGGCTGACAGTCCTGGCCATTGAAGTACTGCCCGTCCTCACAGGTGATCGAGCACCGGGATCCCTGCAGGCTGAAGACAGAAACACAGATGCTGTGGTCAAGGCGAAGAGGGCATAGCTCCTCAGCTCCATACACAACAAATAGAGCATCTCCCAGAGACCCGTGGTTTGGCAAAGCTTCAAAGCGGGGGGGAAATCGTCCCGTACCCCTTCTTTTTTCCTTCTCCGATGCCTATCCTGCTTCTCTGCCCCTATGATCATGTCTGTAGCTTGTATGCATGCTGCAAGCTTCGTGGACCTTCTTTGCTCTGCACCTTACCCACGCAGGTGTTCCTAAAAGTATCTTACTGACAAAACTCATGACCTAACAATACGTCTGACAACTCTGATAACCAGCCCTATGACATAATAAATTTAAGAGTTGTTTTGTAATTATAAAATGTAGTAGGAACACAGGGTAATGAGTTACATCTGAATAAAGGGCATGATGATCTCTGGCCCGCCCACACTCCCAGGAGTAGGTCCTTTTGTTCTTATTTCTGGTTTTAGTTCTTCTACTGGTTCCCATCAGAACCACACAATTGCCTCTATTTCCTGATTTATTTTAAATGCTAATGAATAATTTCATAAAATGACCTGCCTATACAGCTGATTCCCCAAACACCCCAACTTTTCTTAATTGTATGATTGTTTCCAGGTGTTCTCTCTACCATACTTTATTTGGCACTCTTGGTATCTATTATAGTTGCCAGATGTTGAATGAGGAATGCATATTTTTTCTCCTTTGTAATATCTATCAATTATGATAGCTTTCATAGTGTATAGATCAATTCTTAAAATTAAAAAACACAGAATTTAGGACCTTTAATCTACCAATATTGCTCACTATTGGAACAACAGATTAGCACCTGTAAACCTATGTCACCAAATAGACGATACTACAAGATGGGTCTCTAAGCAACAGGGTCAAATGGTTTTTATTCTCTTAGACTCTTTATATTGCCCTAAGTCACATCTTAGTTGACTGTGCTTTGTATTTGGATCACGCTAACTTGGAAAAGTAAAATTTATTTTTCCCTATTGGAAAGAACAAAAACAGATAAAAACGGATCCCAAAGAGTCCTGTTAACGTTGTAATCCACTTCCTTCCAGTATTTTATATGTATGTATTTCTGTTTGTTCTTAGCCACTCTTGAAAAATGTATAGGTCTCTCGAGGCAAACTGGTCAACCCTCAAAGCCTCTAAGGAAGAGGTAGGCAGTCTCAAGGAGACAGAGGGCAGCTTAACTGAAGGTGTATTCCATTCACAGACTTGACTGGCCAGGGAGCGATGTCATTTAAAAAGCCAATAAAAGAAAATCCCTTCCCTTTCCGTAGAACTGGAAAAAAGGACATTGCATCAAATAGGTCCTTTTGTGGGAGGAAATAGGACCACCAAAAAACTTATCAGATTAAAAATAAAAAAAAAAAACTGCCTCATTTTTCTAGTACAGGGCATTCCTTCTGAGGTTGGCATGTGTTGAGCATGAGACAGAGGCTGCGCTGTGTAAGGAAGCAATGAATGTAAGTGGGTCCTGCAACAGAGAGCAGGCACTGTGTGCACCCCAAAGCCGCCTGCTGCTTCCAAAATAGAGTGGTGATGTGGCTAACCCTCCTGGTACAGTGGACACCTGCGTTCTGTCTGTGATCAACTGGCTGGGTTGGAACTCTGCTGTCCCACATGTTTCAGCACCCGTGGCTCCTAAGCACTTAAAATGTGGTTAGTGTGGCCCAGGACTGGAATTTTAAACTTTAGTTTGAATTTCAGTCTAAATTTTACAAATTGGCCCTTGGTTCAGTTACTGGCAAAATTCTGAGTAAGTTTAGAAACAACCTGGCTATATAAAATCTACTTTGACTAAATTTTGTAAAATCCAAGTACAGATCAAGTATTTCTCATAAAAAATTACTGTCCAAGTTGAGATGTGCAATGTACTTTCTGGGTTAAAATGCACACCAGATTTCAAAGACTTGGTATAAGAACAAAAAAGAATGTAAAACATCTCGCTAGGTCTTTTATATTGATTATATTTTGAAATGAAAATATTTTGGATATATATGGTTAATATGTTTTTAAATTTTACCCATATCTTTTTACTTCCCTTAATGTGGCTACTGGCATATTTAAAATAAAATGAACATATAGGGCTCTCATATTTCTTTTGGAGAGTGCTGGTTAACGTACTCTGTGAAATGTTCCCTAAGAAACACAGTTGACTTAACTCTTCAACAACATGGGTTTGAAAAACTAAGCGGATTTTTTTTTTTTGATAAATAAAATACAGTACTCTAAATGTATTTTCTTTATAATTTTCCTAACATTTTCTCTTCTCTAGGCTTATTGTAAGAATAGCAGTATAGAATACATATAACACAATGCGTTAATTGACTGTTATTTGTAGAATTTCCAGTCAACAGTAGTAATCAGTAGTTACATAGTTACATAGTTAAGAGTAACTTACGGAGTTAAAAGTTATATGCGATTTTCAACTGTATGAAGTTGTGGCCCCTAATCCCTGAGTTGTGCAAGGGTCAATTGTATAGAAAATATCGTAAATAATCTTTTATTTCTCATGGACCAATTATGTGTCTGATACTGGAAATAAGTACTTTCTAAATGTTATCACAGTTGATCTTTTTCATAATTCAGCAATGTAGGGGTTATTATCTCATTTTATAGGTGACAAAAGTGAAGTTCAGAGTGGCTCAGTGACTTGACCAGGATCCCACAGCTGATTAATAGAAGAGGGTTTGAGCCCACATCTATCTTGTCTCCCTTCTTCTTATTATCTCAATCTGCTCCTTGTCCAAAAAGAATGAGGGGGCTGACTAGACTGATATATATCAAGACTGGAAGTCTTGAGATGCAAGGTGCTTAAGCAGATCAATACTGAATGCATTTATGAAAAAACCCACAGGAAAAAAATATATTAGAACATCATTTTCATTTAGATTAAGATTTTATTTATTAGAGAGAGCAAGCGAGTGAGCATGAGTGGGGAGAGGGGCAGAAGGAGAGGGAGAAGCAGACTCCCCTGGCTCAATCCCAGGACACCGAGGTCATGACCTGAGCCGAAGGCAGATGCTTAGTTGACTGAGCCACCCATGTGCTCCAATGTTCTAGTATTAACTAATATGAAGAAATCACCTGCCTGGAGCCCGTTGAGTTCACCTCTCCAATTTAAGGTGGAAACAGAGGTATTCTCAATACTTAAAAAGATCGGAGTGCTGCAGATTTGTGGCTCTCTGTGAACTCAGGGTCCAACTCCTTACCCACCGGAGGATGGTCTGACCTTCTCTATGGATATCAGGAGGCTACCTAGTTCATTTGAGCCGTGTCTTGTTCTCTGGCAGAATCTATCAGCTATCTGGCTTTTGCAATGAGCAAGTCATCCAGTCAAGAAAAACATCTCCAGGTGTTAAATCTATGAGCATACCAGAGCATAATGGAACCAAGCCTGAGGTACTTAAGATAAGAGGATGATTGGCTATATGGAGAGAAATAATAAAGATAAGGCAAGAGTTTCCGACCATCAAAGGAATGAATCAGGAGGATTAAATATAATTCATTATATTACCTACGCAGTAATCCTTGACAGGGGCACTGCGCTGGTCAAAAAGCACTGAGAAAGCCTCTCAAATAGCCATTTTTATTTATGTGTATCAGAGCCATATTTTCTGAAGAGAATTTCATTTGGTTTATAAACCTCCCTTAGCCAAGATGGCATCCAATTTTTCACATACAATGGTAAAGATAATGCAAATAACAATCAAGTGTTTGAATGGGAGTCAAACCAAGGTGATGGTAAGAGGATTATTTATTTACATATTTCATTTATATTGAGATGCTCCTTGGGCTGTGTGACTTGAAAGCATCCTTCACTCTCTTACCTTAACCCATCCCTACATTCTGTACAGTTGTGGAATTCAGTACATGTCTTGCAGTTTTCACTGCATTTCCGGCAAAGACTTTTCTCTGTTAAAAAACAAAAAAAAACAAAAAAAAAACATACAAATGTAACAAGGTTATAAATCAGTTGGTCAGTTGGATTCCATAAAAGGAGGTGGAGACATTCTAATGTTTGCTAATGTACACGATAGTACACATACATGGCCTTGAGCAGACTATTTTGCAAACAGCCCCGCACAGAACATTTGCTATCACTTTTCAGCGAAGTGAACAGCGGTAGGAACCTGCAGTGATGGGAAATGCCTGATATCTACCAGCCATTTTGCAGACAAGGGAACCACAGCCCATTTAACTCTTAGTCGAATAGCTGACTGGCTTTTTCCCCTCTTCTTTTTCTCTCTCCCAAGGGGGGTTATCTAACTTCCGACAATGACAATCCCACTAACAAAGATGCTGGGGCAATGCCCAGATGTAAAGGTGTAAGCAGTGCTTGGGGCTGTGGAATGGAAAGGTGGGCCCCCATGCTCACAGCTTGTAGGACCACTCTGATGAACACAGCCAGAAAAGGGAATCTGCATTTACGATGGCAGGGTAAGGGTTGATGATGTATTTCTTGTATTGTCTAGAATAGTGTCGCATACTTTATAGTGGCTGTGACATTGATATGTTATTATAGTTTAGATAATGTCTGTATTCAGGAGAATAGAAATATATGGATTGAAACAAATATACCATGAATATGGTTTTCCTGTTTAATACCAAAGACTGATCCCCATTGGAAAAAAATGGCAAATGCATGCTTACTCTATAGTGAAAAATGGTGATTTGTTACATTAACTCAAGGCCTTTTACCTGAGGCAAAATTCTTCTGGAGACTTGATACCTTCTCTGAGGTGCAAGTGGATTATAACCACATATATGTGTAGGATTGAATAAGCTTTGTTCATAGGCTTCTCTTCCTCCATCTACTCTTTATATTTTGGCGTTCTTCAAGGTTCCATAGAGGAACACTGCTTTAATGGATTCCTATAGGGACCTCTTGAAGGTCCACTTCCTTTCTCAAGTCCCGAGCACCCCCACCCACCATGAAATATGAAGTCCTTTATAATCTTATGGTAGTCTTCAGATGGTCCCCTCCTCACTCTGCCGTTCAGACTCCTGGACATGGCATAGGATCTGAAGTCCAAGGACCTAGATTTGAATTCCGCTTTTAGCATTTCCAGTGGGCAAGTTCAGGGTCAATAGATATTTCAGTGATGCCAACCTCTCAGTTTGTCTTGAGGGGATAATGAAATTACTCAGGGGAACTATATGAACTTGAAAGTACTGTAAATGTGTTGGCAGTAATTATTACTTGTCATGATTATATCTGATCACTATGTTTTCAGGAGGAAAATATAACAAAAGTCAGTTACACGGAGGAGAGAGAGGCAGAGACAACTCGTATCAGCAAAGCCATTGTTTGAACAGCCTTCCTTCACTGCATACCTCCCAGGCTCTGGGGAAACAACTGAGTCTCAATTATCTTGATCCTGTTATATACCATCTCGAACCAAATTTCTTTTCTGAGATTCAGCCTTCTTGATAGAATTTTGAATTTTTTTCTTCAAGAAATACTGCTTATTTCCGGGGATCCCTCAGACTCCCCTCCCCAATCTTTCTCTATCAGGCTGTAGCTCATGTTCCAAATTTGGGGGAAAAAGGAACTACAAGGAAATCCTACCCACGGATCTATAGGGTAAACTGAGACTCCATCTGCCTCGTGGAGAAATGCCTGCCTTCGAGTCAAGGGACTTGGACTTCCTAAGAAGCAACAGTATCCACTTCAAAATTCTTGCCTGATTTCTGAAAAACAACTCTTGTTCATTTAAACTTGGGTTTTCTTCTTTCTTAGGTTGTGCCGAAACAGGAGATAATCAGTGTCATCATGTATTATGGTGTGACACACTTGTTAATTACCGAGAATTCAGAAATAAAGGAAAAGGGCGCTACCAGAGCACTAACAGGTAGGAATGCCCAAGGATTACTTAATTCTCCAGGGAATATACCTTTTGTCTGTTTCCTAATGACGACTGATTAGGGCCAAACTCCGCGAAGTGACGTGTTCATTTACAGATTTTTGTTTGGTACAGTTGGAAAGGATTTCTGTGTGGAAAAGGCCCCCCAAATTCAATTTGTATTGCCATGTAGGAAATTATTCATTTCTTAACTGAAGTATAAAAAACAATGTTATATTAGTTGGAGATATAGAATATATTGATTTGACGATTCTATGTATTACTCAGTGTTGACCATGGTAACTGTAGTCCCCATCTGTCACCATGCAATGGTATTACAGTATTATGGACAATATTCCCTAGCTGTACTTTTCATCTCTGACTTCCTTATTTTATAACTGGAAGTTTGTACCTCCCCTTTATCTTTTTTGCCCGTCCCTCCACCCACCTCTGTTCTGGCCACCACCAATCATTTTCTGTGTTTTAAGAGTCTATTTTTTGTGTGTTTGTTAGCTTCCACATACAAGTGAAATCCTGTGGTATTTGTCTTTCTCAGTCTGATTTATTTCACTTAGCATAATACCCTATAGCTCCATCCATGTAGGCACAAATGGCAAGATCTCACTCCCTTATATGGCTGGGTAATATTCCACTGTGTGTGTGTGTGTGTGTATACACCACATCTTTTTCTTTTTCTTTCTTTTTTTTTTTTTTACAAGTTTTTAATTCCAATATAGTTAATATACAGTGTTATATTAGTTTAAGGTGTATAATATAGTGATTCAGCACTTCTCTATATCACCCAGTGCTCATCATGACAAGTGTACTCCTTAATCCCCATCACTGGTTTCACTCACCCTCCCACCCCCCTCCCCTCTGGTAACTATCACTTTGCTCTCTATAGTTAAGAGTCAGCTTCTTGGTTTGTCTCTTTTTCCTTTGATCATTTGTTTTGTTTCTTAAATTCCACATGTGAGTGAAATCCTATGGTATTTCTCTTTCTCTGACTGACTTATTTCACTTAGCATTATATTCTCTAGCTCTATCCATGTTGTTGCAAATGGCAGTATTTCATTCTTTTTAATGACTAACACTCCATTGTGTGTGTGTGTGTGTGTGTGTGTGTGTGTGTATGTGTATGATGAACGGATAATCCTTCTTTATCCATCCATCTATCTATGAACGCTTGGGTTTCTTGTATACCTTGGCTATTGTAAATAATGCTGCAATAAACATAGGGGTGCATATACCTTTTTTACTTAGGATTTTTGTATTCTTTGGGCAAATACCCAGTACTGGAATTACTGGATTGTAGGGTATTTCTGATTTTAATTTTTTGAGGAACCTCCATCCTCTTTTCCAGAGTGGCTGTACCAGTTTACATTCCCACCACAGTGCCTGAGGGTTCTCTTTTCTTTACATCCTCACCAACACTTGTTACAATTTCTTGTTTCTTGATACTGACTGCCGTCCGTTCTTGATAGCTATTCTAAAATGAGTGAGGGGATATCTCGTTGTGGTTTTGATTTGCGCTTCCCTGATGAGTGATGCCGAACATCTTTTCACATGTCTGTTGGCCATCTGTATGTCTTCTCTGGAAAAATGTGTCTTCAGAACCTCTGCCCACTTTTTTTTATCACATTGTATTTTTGGTGTTGAGTTGTATAAGCTCTTTATATATTTTAGATATTAACCCCTTAGCAGATACATTGTTTGCAAGTATCTTCTCCTATTCACTAGGATGCCTTTTTATTTTGTTGGTTTTCTTTACTGTGAAAAAGCTTTTCATTTTGGTCAAGTCCCAATATAGTGTATTTTTGCTGTTGTTTCTTGTGCCTGAGGAGACCTATACATAAATATGTTGCCAAGGGCAATGTTCGAGAGATTACTGCCTATGTTTTCTTTTAGGATTTTTATGGTTTCAGGTCTCACATTTAGGTCTTTAATCCATTTTGAGTTTATTTTTGTGTATGGTTTAAGAAAGTGGTCCAGTTTCATTCTTTTGCATGCAGCTGTCCAGTTTTTCCCAACACCATTTATTGAAGAGATTGTCTTTTCTCCATTGTATATTCTTGCTTCCTTTGTCATAGGTTAATTGACCAAATAGATGTTGGTTTATCTCTGGGGTTTCTATCATGTTCCATTGATCTATAGGTCTATTTTTGTGACAGCACTATGCTGTTTTGATTACTGTACTTGTAGCATATCTTGAAACCTGGGATTGTGATACCTTAGGCTTTGTTCTTCTTTCTCAAAATTGCTTTGGCTATTCAGGGTCTTATGTGGGTCTTACAGATTTTAGGATTATTTGTTGCAGTTCTGTGAAAATGCTTTTGGTTTTTGATAGGGATTGTGATAAATCTGTAGATTACTTTGGGTAGTATGAATGTTTAACAATATTCTTCCAATCCATGAGCATGGTGTATTTTTCTACTTGTTTGTGTCATCTTCAATTTCTTTCACCAGTGTCTTATAAGTTTTCAGAATATAGGTCTTTCACCTCCTTGATTAAATTTATTTCTAGGTATTTTACTCTTTTTGGTGCAGTTACAAATGAGATTGTTTGTATTCTTAATTTCTCTTTCTGCTACTTCATTATTAGTGTATAGAAATACAACAGATTTCTGTATATTAATTTTGTATCCTGAAACTTCACTGAATTATCAGTTCCAATAGTCTTTTGGTGAAGTCTAGCATTTTCTATGTATAGTATCATGTCATCTGCAGATAGTGACAGTATTACTTCTTCCTTACCAATTTGGATGTCTTTTATTTCTTTTTCTTTTCTGATTGCTGCAGCTAGAATTTCCAATATTTTGTTGAATAAAAGTGGTGAGAGTGGACATCCTTGTCTTGTTTTTGTCTTAGAGGAAGAGTTCTCAGTTTTCATTATTGAGTATGATGTCGGTTGTGGGTTTGTCATATATGGCTTTTATTATGGTGAGGTATGTTCCCTTTACCCTACATTGTTGAGAAGTTTTAACATGAATCCATGTTGTATTATGTCAAATGCTTTTTCTGCATCCATTGAGATCTTTTTTTATTCTTGTTTAGGTGATATCATACTGATTAGTGAATAGTGAACCACACTTGCGTCTCTGGAATAAATCCCCCTTGATCATGCTAAATGATTTTTTTAATGTACGTTGAATTCAGTCTGTTATTCTTTTGTTAAGGATTTTTGCATCTTTGTTCATCAGAGATATTGGCCGGTAGTTTTTTTTTCTTTAAAAATTTTTATTGTTATGTTAATCACCATACATTACATCATTAGTTTTTGATGTGTTCCATGATTCATTGTTTGTGTATAACACCCAGTGCTCCACGCAGAACGTGCCCTCTTTAATACCCAGGCCCGTAGTTTTCTTTTTACATGATGTCTTTGTCTGGTTCTGGGATCAAAGTAATGCTGGCCTCATAGGTGAATTTAGAAGTTTTACTTCCTCTTTTATTTTTTAGCATCATTTGAGAAGAATAGGTATTAACTCTTATTTAAATGTTTTGTAGAAGTCACCTGTGAATCCATCTGGTCCTTGATTTTTGTTTGGAACTTTTTGACTGCTGATTCAATTTCATTACTAGTAATTGGTCTGCTCAGATTTTCTCTCTCTTCCTGATTTAGTTTTGGAAAATTGTATGTTTCTGGGAATTTATCCATTTCTTCTAGATTGTCCAATTGTTTGGCAGATAATTTTTCAACATTTTCTTATAATTCTTTGTATTTCTGTGATATTATTGCTCCTCCTTCATTTCTGACTTTGAGTCTTCTCTCTTAAGTCTGGCTGAAGATTTATCAGTTTTGTTTATCTTTCCAAAGAACCAGGTCTTTGTTTCATTGATCTTTTTTTTTTAAATTTCATTTATATCTGCTCTAATCTTTATTATTTCCTTCTACTGGCTTTGGACTTTGTTATTCTTTTTCTAGTTCCTTTAGGTTTAAGGTTAGGTTCTTTATTCTTTAATATGATATTTTTCTTGTTTCTTGAGGTAGGCCTAATAGCACTATAAATTTCCCTCTTAGAACTGCTTTTGCTGATTCCCAAAGATTTTAGACTATTGTCTTTTCGTTTGTTTCCATGAATTTTTGATTTCATGTTTTTTTTTTTTCCATTGACCCATTGGTTAATTAGTAGCATGTTGTTTAACCTCCATGTATTTGGCTTTTTTTTTTCTTCCATTTTTCTCTTGTAATATTGATTTGTAGTTCCATACCATTTAAGTTGGGAAACATGCTTGATATGATTTCAGTCTTCTTAAATACAGTGAGACTTGTTCTATGGCCTAACATGTTATGTGTAGCAGAGAATGTTTCATGTGCACTTGAAAAGAATGTGTGTTGCTACCCTGAGTTTTGTTCTTTTTTCCACTTCCATTTGCATGGTTTATGTTTTTTCATCCCTTCACTTTCAGTCTGTATGTGTCATTATGTGTGAAGTGAGTCTCTTGTAGGCAGCATATAGCTGGGTATTGTTTTCTTACTCATTTACCATATGTCTTTTGATTGGAGTATTTAGTTTATTTACATTTAAAGTAATTATAGATAGGTACTTATTGCCATTTTGTTAATTGTATTGATTGTTTTTGTAGTTCTTCTCGATTCCTTCCTTTTTCTCTTGCTCTCTTCCCTTGTGGGTTGATGATTTTCCTTAGTGATATGGTTGGATTCCTTTCTCTTTTTTGTGTGTGTATATCACAGGTTTCTGATTTGTGGTTACCACTGGGTTCTACATTGAGTTGAGGGTCACTTAAGTTCAACACATTGTAAAACTACTAAAAGTAACTCCCACCTCCATGTTTTATGTATGTGATGTTTTATATCTTTTTATTTTGTGTCTCCCTTGGCTAATTTTTCTAATTTTGATTGTACTACTTTGTAAGTTTTAAACTCCACAGTGGCTTTACTCTATGATTGCCTTTTACCTGTAAAATTTTTCTCCTTTTATAATTTTTTTTTTTCTAGCGATGGCCTATTCTTTCCATTTAAAGAATCCCCTTTAACATTTTTTGTAAGCCTGATTTATTGGGATGAACTCCTTTAACTTTTGTCAGGAAAACATTTCTCTCCTGTTTTGAATGATATACTTTCTGGGTAGAGTATTCTTGGTTGTAGGTTTTTTTGTTTGTTTTAGCACTTTGAATATAGCATGCTCCTCCCCTCTGGCCTGCTAAAGGTTCTGCTGAAAATCACCTGATTGATTGCCTTATTTGGCTTTCCTTTTATCTTTACTTTTTGCCATTTTAATTATTATGTGTCTTGGTGTGGACCTCCTTGGGTTCATCTTGTTAGGGGTTCTTCTTCCTGGACCTGGATGTTGCTTCTTTCCCCAGGTTAGGGAAGTTTTCAGCCCCTTCTTCTCCTGCTGGGATCCCTATAATGTGCATGTTACTATGCTTGATGATGCCACAGAGTTCCCTTAACCTCTTCTTTTTTCTTGTTGTTCAGCTGAGTTGTTTTCCATTACCGCCTTCCATATCACTGATCTGTTCTTCTGCATCTTCTGGTCTACTATTGATTCCATTTAGCGTATTTTTATTTCAGTTATTAAATTCATCAGCTCTGACTGGTTCTTTCTACATTTTCTGTCTCTTTGTTGAAGGTCTCACTGAGATCCTCTGCTCTTTTCTCAAGTCTAGTGAGTATCTCAGTGATGATAATTTCTTTGACTCGTCTATCACACATATTTTCATTTCATTTGGGACATATTCCTCTGTCTCCTCATTTTGTCTCTGTTTGTTTTTAATGTAGTAGGACAGTCAGCTATGTCCCCTGGTCTTGAAAGTAGTGGCCTTGTTGTCAAAAGAGGTCCTGTGGTGTCCTATAGTGCAATCACCCCCTGGTTACCAGAACCAGGCACTCCAGGGGTGTCCTCGGTGTGGGCTGTGTGTGCCTCCCTATTGTGGCTGAGTCACAACTGCCTTCAGCCCAGCCAGCCGCAAGGATCCCCTCTCCCTGCTCCGAGTGTCCTGGGTAGAGTTGAGGCCAGTCTGAAGCAGTGACAGGCTTGGTGAATAGGGGCGCAGTGGCAGGCTTGGTGAATTGGGCCAGCAGTGAGCCCAGCTGTCTGCAATTAGTCCCTCTGTGTAGATACAGCTACAGGTACACTGAAGGGCAGGGCTTGCTTCTTGCCCAGCCAGCTATGAGGCTTGACCGCAGGGACTGCAAGTATGCTGTTATAGGGTCTTCTCTCCTCGCTCCCCAGGGCATGAGTCACTTTGGAGTGGCACCCTCCAAGTGGGTATGGTGGGACAGGAGCCACTCTTAAGGGAGGACTGCTGAGTTGGGTTGGATGGAGAAGAGCACACAGTGCTATAGCAAAGTAGATGGAGAGTGTTAGCGCTACCTGTCACAAACATCCAGCTATCTAGGCCTTGGGGCGGGGAGGGGGAAGAGGAATGGCACCTACCAGCACTTTTGTTTCTAGAGAAATATCCTGTACATCCCTGCCTGGGGACAGATCTAATCTGCCCAAGACAGATTAGTCAATATATCTCCTTCACATATAACCGCAGGCACTTTTCAAACTGCTGCATCTTTAAGGATGATGGAGACTCAGTTTCCTATTGCCCTCGGGCTCTCCTGGAACTAAGCCCCACTGGAGTGAAGATCTGTTTCTGAAGTCAGATATTAGGTGGACTCATCTTCCTAGTGCTGGGGTTGCCTAGGGTGGAATCAGATCCTCGTGCTTCCCCATGCGTGTGATGTCCCTCCTGTTTGTGGTTAGTGGCACAGGGGTTTGGTTTCCAACTATGTCTCCATCCTACCTACCCTTTTCAAGGTGCCCTTCTCTCTACAATTAACTGTGGCAGGTCTGTTCTGCCAATCTTCAGGTGGTTTATCTCAATGTGTCTGAGGGATAAGGTGAGTTCAGGATCCTCCTACTCTAAACTTGGCAAATGGATTACATTTTGCCTTTCCTAGTGGACTGGAATACCTGATAGTCTTTGAATCCATTTATCACTTTATAGGTTTCCTCATTAATGGCCCTTCATTAGTAGTCTTTGACACATGTCTATTCCACATTCACACTGAAGTCATGTTTTCTAAACTTTCTGAAAAGTAACACTGATACCATACAGGCCTGCTTCCTTCGGGTCGTGTGTAGAAAAGAGCAGGCTCGGCTGCTATCTTTTGAAAGCCTGCTTCTGAAGCTGGTCCATGGCTAGTACCTGGGAATTGGATTTTAGGAGGGTTTCCACCACCCTAACTGGTGAGAGTGGCTCCTGGTGCCTCAACTGTGCAAACAATATGGTTTATACCGAACATCTGCTTTCCTTGGGAGCCTGGAATTTTGGTATGTGCCAGGGAGAGGGGGTCTTTGTGACCACAACCCTGGGCACTGAGACTCTAAGGAGGTTCCCTGGTAGCCTACATTTCACACATGTTGTAACCAGTTGTTGCTGGGGGATTTCAATGCATCCTGGGAGAAAACTTAGAAGCTAGTGCTGGTTTTCTGTGGACTCTGTCCTATGTACCTTTTCCTGATTTTATTTAGTAACTATGAGCTCATGAGTGCAACTATATAGTAAGTCTTGTGGGTCCTCCTAGCAAATCACTGACTCTGGGGATGGGCCTGAGGACTCCCTGACAGTTAGTTACAAGCGTTTTTACATAATTTTTTTTTTTTTTTTTTTTACAAAAACTGTTAAAATTCTAATGTGTTCTCTTAAAAACTGGTTAGATCCTTTGATATAACCAAGGCCTCAATTTCCCTCCTAAGGTCATCAAATGAAAACCTTCTATTTCCTCTCTAAAACCCAAATATTTGAAATCAACTCACTGGTGTCCGGGTATGATCCATCAGGGCACTGGATAACACAGCTGTTGATTTCTTCATTTAGGAAGTATCCATATTTACAGGACAGGCACTGGTCACCATGGCTTCCAAAGCAGGACTCACAGTTGGGGGCACACTTTCTGCATCGCTTCTTGTCAGCATGGTAGTGGCCAGAGGGGCAGCTGGAGACACAGATCCTGCATTGTGGAATGGTAAGAAAGAAGGACAGCATCATTGGAAACAGAGTCCCGGGCATTCTTGGTAGATGCTCAAGCAAGAGCAGCCTTCCATCTTAAACCCCGATGGTAACACCATATCCAAAGAGCCAAATTCTCTGTGTAGGGTTCTGAAGTGGCAAGGTGGCCACCCAATACCAAGTCTGTCAAGTAATGCATGGTCTTGGTCCAAACCCCATCTTCCGGTTCGGGACTAGCTCTTTAAAGGGGACAATGGTTAGAAACTAGAGGCTCAAGAGGAAAGGTTGTGGCATGGGGTTGAAAGGAAACTACGTGGGAACCACGATTTTATACAAAAAAGGTTGCTAATAAGGGGTTACTTCTGTTTTCGTGTGTTGTCCTATGGATCCTGTGTGCTAGGGGCTGTATGCTATTGTCTAAGTTAATCGATTTAAACTTGGTTGGTTATGATACATTTAAAAAAAAAAGAACTTCCTTAACTGAAGGACAGCACTTTGTTTATTCATTCAACAAATATTTACTACTGAGTACCAAGTAAAATGTCAGGCATTTTGCTGGGCTCGGCGATGAGAGGTCCTGCAGTAGCCAAGGGCCCTTCCTTTAAGGAACAGAAATTCCAGCATGCATGTAAACAGGAACTAGAATGGGTCTGGGTCTGTCTGGATGGCTGAAGTGTGGACTCACTGCAGTAGGACGGAAAAGGGGGCAGGGCTCTGAGAGAGATGCCCGGAGCGGACAGCCTCTGAGGGGCCATCACTGTCCCGGGAGCCTCCCTGCAGACAGATCAGCACACCTTGAGGCAGAAGCCAGGGGCTGAGAGTTACGGTGACCAAGCAGGTCCGCCTCAGTGCCCAGAGTGAAATAGGATGAGCAGGGCCCACCACCTTTGCACACGGGAACGCAGGGATGCATCTGTTGGGCTGGATGCTGGCATTTTCATGAAAGGCAAACAGAGCTCTAGCATCAAACATTCATGGGATGGAAAGGTCTAGAGGGCTAGTCCAAATGCGAGCAAAGACAGTTGCAGCTTGACAGCATACAGCATATGAGTTTCAGCACTTGGAATGACACTGGGAGGCAGGGGCTGGCCAGCAGCCTCTGTTCTGTGCTTGGGTCCTGGTAGGAGAACATCACCAGACGCCGCTCGAACACAGCTCGAGCGCAGCCCGTGGGACCACCTGGAGCATGCTGCGGGGTGGGGGGGCGCGGGGATTGGACTCAGGATCCTTCTTACCTGGTGTTGTTTTTCAGTTTATAGTAGTAGTTTAAGCAGTCACTGCAGTGGTCTGGTCCTGGCCCATCACAGCCGACCTCACTGCACTCAGGGTCACAGGGACCTTTTCCAAAAAAACACAAAAAAACAAAAAAACAAAAAAAACTTGGGAAAATATGATTTTAAAGCAGGTCTATTTTAACTTGAATTTTTCCTTCCTTATGCAGTGAGAGTTTCTTTAAGGTGGAGGAATAATGTGTAACATGGCTCTAAGCACGGAGATGAACTCCTATTACCGAAGTATCAAGAATGTAAATCCAGCCGTGGCTTGGTCTTCAAAAAAGCACATACGGCTGCCTTGTGGGAGATGATAACACATATCTCCGAATTCAAAGGAACAATGCCACTCTGGCAACTGGAAGAGAACTGATGGCAATTAAATATGCATAATGATAAAAATGTCGGATTTACAGAAAAATGACAAGTTAAGCTGTTGACAGAAAAAAGAAAAAAGTTTATTATTCCATGCCTGGACCAGATTGTCTGGCTTGCCGATGGTCATTAAAACCACGGAATACCTCTGAGATGCTGTAGCCAGCAAGAAACATCATTATGGCATCTGGTGCAAGCTTATCAGTATCTGGTCTTGGATTACAAAGCAGGTACTTAAGGCATAGATAATAGATTTTTTTAAAATTTAATTTGATTTATGTTAGTCACCATACAATACAGCATTAGTTTTTTTGATGTAGTGATCCACGTGGTGGGACACAATTTTAAAATCTAATAGATTTTAAGGGCAGTGGAAAACTCAACAAAAGAAAGCGAGACAAATTTTTAAAAATGCAAGCAAGCTTAAAGAATTCCAGACCTAGGATGAAAGTTGCTAATCTCTCATGACATATTCTTTGGTCTAGAGTTAGAATGTACAGACGGGAAGAAAAAAATGCCAGAAAGATGGGAGATTTTTATAATTGATGAAAAGCTTTCTAATGACATGGGCTAGACCTTTTGCTTGCTTGAACTAACTCCCTTTTTCCTTGTTCTCCATACTTTAGGACATTTGGTCTTGTAATCTTCAAGCCCTTTCCTGTTGAAAATACACATGATTTTAAGTAGTAATAAACATGCACAGAATGTACAAACATTAAGTTATGTCAGAAATGTCTGAACCATACTGATTTGAATCAAAAGGATTTACTTGATCTTGAAACTTGATCTCCTTTAGTCATTATAGGATTCTGTTCTACAGTTACTGAGTCGGAATATAAAATGGTAGAACCTGGGAGGAATGACTTGGAGAAAAGTCTAGTATTCAAACACCCTCATTTACCTGGTGAGAAAACATACTTTCCAAGAATTAGAGTGGCTTGTCCAAATAATACAGCCCAGGAGCCCTGGGATCAACATGGGTCCCCCTTCTTACTCCAGCTCTCCTACATAGAAGTAGTAAATCAGGTACTAGCGATGACCTTTCAAAATGAATGCAGACTTGAGATATATTTCTGACAGCACTGTTTCTCTCTTTGTTCCCCCAAGCCTTAAAACTGATCTCTAAATTCCACAGCGAGTATAACTTGGGACCTTTCAGCTCTCTGCTACGATAGAGGAGAGGGTGTCTCTGTATGTAAGGGTTGGAGCTCAGCCAGCTGTGGGTCCTACAGCCCCTGGAATTTGATGCAACAGTACTAGGGATCTGGTTATGCTAATACCATCTGTGCCTTTAGCCAGGTTGACTTCTTCATGAAGGTGAAAATCACAGCTCTGAAGAAAAGGAATCATGGGTGGCCCTAAATTTTCACCAGATGATTTCTGCAATTAACGCCCCCCCCCCCAAATTATGCTTTATACGTGCCAAAGGGCTCCGTATGGCCAGTTCACATGCCGTGCTGTTTCTTTTATAATCTTAACCTGTCCCAGATGCAATTTAGCATTTTAGGTTGCAGGGTAATAATGAAATAATTGTCTTTGTTCTCTCACAAGTGCCAATGTGGACATTTTGGAGATGTTAACAGGAAAAAAACACGGAGATAAGAGAACCGTTTGTTCAGAATTTTAAGATTACCAAAATGTGAATTAGAAACCTACCAGAAGGCATATAGCAACAGGCTAGTAGGCTCAGTTTATGTTTTTGGATATCCTTTCTCCTATCAGAGAAGATGAAATGGTTTGCTCGTTATAATGTGAATAGTAATGTTACAAGCTCAAAACATAATGAGATAATCTAACACGATCGAGCTCAGTTGGCTCAACTGGTTTGAATTATTCCAGCTTAGGATGGACTCTGGGATACTACCTGTTTAGAATAAAAGGAACCATGTGCATGTTTAAGATATTCTGCTAAGGTGACTAATGAAGTACTTTTATCTTTAGCTCATTAAGTGTTATGTCATATCCCAGGAGCACTGAATGCTCCTTTAAGTGGTAGTCAGTGGAACAAGACACGTACTGCATGGAGCGCTAGGTGTTATACAAAAACAAAGAATCGTGGATCACTACATCAAAAACTAATGAAGTACTGTGTGGTACCAGAAGAGACCCTGGTGTAAGAATTTATTCTATTATAAAGGAAAGATCCTGGGGGCACCTGGGTGGCTCAGTTGGTTAAGTGTCTGCCTCTGGCTCAGGTCATGATCTCAGGGTCCTGGGATTGAGCCCAGCATCTCCCTCTCCAATAAATATTTAAAAATGAAGGGAAGATCCTAAACTAGTAAAAGAAGGGATGATGACCCAGCCAATAATGTTAGTCTATTTATTTTATCTCCTACTATATAAACCAAAATAAGTTCCAGATGAATGGCCAAATGTAAAAAGCAGAGATTAGAAAAAAATGCATGTGGATATTTAGTTGATTTTAAAGACTAAAACTTCTTAAAGAAGATCTGAAACTATAAACCCTGACCTCCAATTTTCTTTTTCCATCAAAACACAAAACAAAAACTACATTTTGGAAGCAAGCAATAACTGAGGGAATGGTTTCAGCAAATACAGTAGTTCTTCCTCCCACTTATCTGCAGGGGATACTTTCCAAGCCCCTCAGTGGATGCTTGAAACCATGGATAGTACCAAACCCTATATATACTATGTCTTTTTCCTATACATACATACCTGTGATAACATTTAATTTTTAAATGAGGCACAGTGAGAAACTAATAACATAGAACAATTATATCAATATACTATGATGAAAAGATGTGAATATATGTGAATGTGGTCTCTCTCAAATCTTATATGGTATTTATCTGACTTCTTGTGACAGTGTGAGATGCTAGAATGCCTACAGGATGAGATGAAGTCAGGGGAATGACGTGGGCGTGGTAACGTAGCATTATGCTACTACTGACCTGACGATCTAGCAGATGGAAGATCATCTGCTCCCTGTTAATAATGGGATACTACTTAGTAGTAGTAGTATTACTACTAGGAAACCACAGATAAGGGGGAACCACTGTATGGAAAAATGTGAGAGACAATAACATACAAAGAGCTCTTATAAGAAAATTGGTGTCAATTTGAATAGAAAAATAAAAAGTAAATAAAAAGTAAAAAAAAAAAAAAGTAAAATACAGTTATGCTTAATTCCTAGAACTACAGAGGAAAACATGATTTACTAATAAAGCTATAAAAATTTTAAAATGTTCTGTTCTTTTATTTTTCAACTTTTTTCTTTCCATTGAATTTTGGCATGAATGAGTATAATAAATGCACA